GGTGATCCTCTCCTCTTCAGACATTCTAACTGTCCTTCTACGAAAACAAAATCTCACTCCCTAAAACTTTTACCCGAAGGTCCTTGCACTGGCATGGAAATCCACAAAAATGCAAACCTAAATCTTCTTGCACATGGTGGCCGTTTATACATGTGCAAACAATAATTTCCTCCCTAAGTCTTTTCCAGAATAAACATTTCAAGTTCTGTCTACTCTTTCTCTCCTCTGGACACGTTCCAGCTTGTGATCAAAACTGAGAGCGGAAAAGAGAATTCCAGGTAAGTTTGAAGAGGAGGAACTAGCTACTCCTTCCATTCTAGATCTTCTGCTTCAATTAAGAAAACCAAAGACTGAATTAATTTTTTTTTTTCTCAGAAGACTCCTCACACCACTGATTCAGACTGAACTTGCTATTAACTAAAACAAGTCCCTGTTGGTGTATTTCTCTGGATATTCATTTGGGATCAAAGTGCAGGACTTTGTATTTCTCTCTCTTAAATGCCACCTTCCTTAGATTTGGTCCACTGTCCAAGGTAGTTGAGATGAACATAGGGTGGGTGCGTGAGGGCCCTGACTCTGTCATCCGAAACACTTGCTTTCTCTCCAGCTATTGTTGTATCACAGATTTGAGAATATCTTTTGTATATTGATGAGGACAGAGCTGGAGCTCTGTGGCATGGTTCTGGAGACCCGCCTGGTAGGTCAATTTCATTGTGATCAGCATACTTTGAGGGCATCTGCGCTTGGCTTTATGAAAATGCAGCCTACATTTCTGCATCCGATCAAAACTTTGTCAAGCACATCCTCGATCTCCAGATATAAATCCATAGTCCTCCTTTATAAAAGAGGAAATCAAGTCATACTCTATGCTGATACGAATTATGCAAATCCGAAATAAGGCAATGGGAAGGAATAAGGTTGCACTTAATGTACACAACTTGAAGTGATGTAAATCCTACTTTATTCCCATGGGGGAATTAGTCTTGATTTACGCATGTATTAAATTATATGAGGTCTTACGCAACATATCCCTCATATGAAGAACAACCACGCTTTATTCATCCATTCCTTCTTTCATTCGTTCATTCCGTTATTGAATCATAGGGAGCCCACATTGGCTTCCTTGCCAAGAGCTTGCCAGCCATTCTTCTAATAATCCATCCAAGGAGATTACCCAGGGGCAGCACTGAGACTATAGACCTCCTGTTTGCAGACAGTCTTCTCCTGTTTACAATCAGGAAATTCCAGCATAATACTTAGTGGTATTTCTTCACTCTACGTGCAAGCCTATTTAGGGCACTGCCATATCTAGCGTGTAGTTAGCCTCTAAATATAGTCAAATGCATTTAGTATATGTGCTGCCGAAGCGAGCACTAGTCGAATGCATTTAAAATAAACGGGCTTCCTTTAAACACACACACACACACACACACACACACACACACCTCAGAAGTTGAGTTTGGTTTCTTCTGGCACCTAGTTATTTTTAAATACATATGACACCTTACCCAGCATGGCATATACATTTAAGCCTATCCAAAAAAACAGGAAAGGACAATGAAGAATTTAAGAAGAAATCAATTGAGAAAGTTTTAAAATAGATTGCCTCCTTCTCACTCACAGGCATCCCACACTTGTTTTTCAGCAACTCCTATGTGCCAATCCGGATAAGTGCTGGCTGGGGATGCGGGTGAAAACCCGGATTCCTACCTTCAGGTAAGCTCACCTCCAAAACTCTAGCTGTGGCAACTGGCATATGGGCAGCTGGCATATTGTTCCCCGAGCTTCTCAGTAGTGGGTGGTCTTTTTTTAGACCTAAAAATACTGGTAGCAAAGAACAGTACGTTGTCTCGCCCTCCCTCCCATCTCCCCATTCCTCACCTCTGTCAGCTGGTGCGAAAGCAGGACACAGCGTCCGCCGTTAGCCCTGCTACACCAGGCTGAGCTCAGCTGGGGGAGGTCAAGGAATGTTCCGCCCAGCCATCTGACACTTTGCTCTAAAATCTTCCCATGCACCCTAAGCTCTGGCTGAGGCCCCGATTCTTCAGCATGGCACATGAGCCCTTCATGCCAGCCCCCAGCCTGATCCCCTTCCCCTGCTGTGCCCACTCCGAGCTCCAGCTGCTAGGTAAGCCACAGTTGCTAGGATGTCCCCTAGTGCCCCTCCCCGTCCCTTGGTATGGACTGTCCCTTCTGCCTTTCCAGAATGTTCTCTCACCCCGTGAAGCTCAGTCCCCACATATTCTGTGTTCAGCTGTAGATTAAATTCCTGTCTTCCGGCACTTTCCAGCTTCCTTGTAGCTGTTGATTTCTCAGTCTGTCTATGACCACGTTCTCCTGAAGAACAGACGTTTTGCCCTGTGCATTTCCTTATCCCCAGGGCCTGCCTCAGGGGTCACTCAGTTAGCTTCTCCTGAATGCACAGAGGGAGGAGCCCAAGGTGTTGCGTGGACCCTGGCCTGGCTGCTCCTCGGGAGAGCCTCGCACACTCTTCTCCAACTGTGGCCGGGGCAGGACGGACGGGAGCTGGCAATGATTTCAGGAACATTTGAGAACACGGTATCACCTCCTGCCTAGGAAAGCTTCTGGAAGCGAGGCCTTGCTCACCACCCGCCTTGGGTGCTCAGGAGTGAGTTGGGAGATGCTTTGCTGTGGCTTGTCCAGGCCACATCCGTGTCCGGACCTTCTGTCTCCAGAAGGTGCTGCCGCTGTGGTTAGCAGGGACCACCGTCCTCCCACAGAGCCCCAGACCCAGAAATGTCACAGCTTGCAGGGCTTCTAGAGCATCTGGACAAACGCGACCAGAGAAGGGGCGACCCTACCCCAGGCCCCAGCAGAGCTCCCGCTGCCCATGGGTGTTAGGGGTGGATGTGCGGCCGCGTGGGCCTAGGCTGCCCCCGCCTTTGGCCGGGCCTCGGTTTCCAGCTTCTTTGACACTGACTGGCCATGCTGGAGCTGTTTCCATATAGGAAATCACATCACAATGTGTCCGCACCGACGCTCTCAGCATGGCCAAGTCAGAATCCTCAAATCATCAC